CCGCGCTCGTGCAGCTCCCGCCCTCCCCGGCCTGGCCTCCGCAAGGCCTCGGAGACTCCGAGGAGAGCGAGCCTCTCCCTAGAGGGGCCCCTCGGCCACTTCCGTACCCCGCCCAGGTCCTCCCAGAGCCTGGGGGTTCCTCGCTGCTGACCGGCGAGAGCAGGAGGCGCTTGGCGAGAGGGCGCCAATTCTATTAAGTCTCCCAGTTTCTAGCTTGCTGCCTTAACCACTGTACCAAGCTGGCTCTCATCCTGGTTATATCCTTCTTAAAATGGGCAACTAGAACTTAACAGAGTTCCAGAGATTGTAGATGGATGTAACAATCTTGGCAGTTTGGTTTTCAGGATCCAATCTCCCTCTCAAGTACCAGACACGGAGTTATGCTGCTTTTTTTGGCCCTACGCCAAGATCTTTCTCCAACCCCATCAGTACGTACCTCCATAGAGGGGCTGCTACAACATGCATCGTGTCCCACTTCCTTAATTAGAGCCACATTCTAAGCCCTCTTAGACCTTACAGAAAAGCACAGGAGCAGGGATGAGGCACACTCCCCCAGGTCCAGAGTTAGGATTAAGGATTTGGCTGCGTTCAAATACATTCAGAACCATGCCTGCAGCCATTCATACCTCCCCCCCGGCCCTTCCATTTCAAGTATGGACCCTCTTCTCAGTGAATGCGAGGAAACACCCTTTCTCCAATTTACCGATGATCATCTGGGGGGGGGGGAAGTAATCTCCCTCCTTATAACTGGCATTCTTGTCTCACCAGTTTATGTATAAATGTTAGTAAGCTCGAGTTAAGCATGTTGGAGATTTTACACTGCAAAAGTGTATTTAGAGAGAAAGAAGGAGATATGGAGATTGACATTCATATAAAAGATTTCTGGAGACTTGTCCTGGAGAGAAAGGAAAAAAAAGGTAATCTTTACTTAGAAAGTTAACACGGTGATAGCAAAGCCAAGTTTGCCTTAGAGCCGGCATGGTGTTTTCTTCGTCAAGAAGAGTAAATACAAGAGAAGTGGAAATGTTGACACCCATCACAAATAGAGCCTACTCAATAGGAGGCATATTCTTGGAGATACGCACATTAAGCATCTGGATGCAAAGGAAGGTCGGAGCGCAGAGTCCTGGCACTGTCCCTAGTGCCCGTAGTGGTCCAAAATCACTTCGTGATTGCAATGCGAAGTCTTCCAAAAAGGCCACATTCAGCGCAGGGTATGGACAAATCCTTGGCACCCCAGCTTGTTTCAAGTAGCCAGTGGTAGCGAACTCTTGCAAGACTTTTCCTGTCCTCTCCTTGATCCCCTCTGAGGACACCACACTTCTCTCCTCTTGTCCTCACCAGCCAGTTGTTCGTTCCGATCTTCCATCCACCACCAGCAGATTATAATCAACAGCTCAGG